AACCCAATCAGGTCATATCAGTGAGCATTTCTCAGGTTTAAACTGTGACAGAAGAAGGTTACTGACCTTGGTTTGTTGTGCAGCTCAGCAGTGAGATCAGAACTAAAGAGAAATGACACTCAGGTTGATTTGAGGTGAACATAAAGAACAACTCCACACAAACTTATCTCTCTGATATATCTGCTCATTTTGTATTTGATGCTTCAATACATTTGGTTAATCAATCCATCCTGATGAAACATTCATCTGATTTAGGATAGAGGGACAGCTGGAGATAATCACTGATGTTATATAGAGAGATGTAAGCTCATCAGTCCATCACAGATTTTATTTTAGAATCACCAGTAAACCAAACATGTCTTTGGACTGTGGAGGAAACTTACACAGATCACTATGTAGTTTTTAATGTAATTTACAAACCTTTGTGTTTTATCTCCAAAAGTTGATTCTGTTCATCTGGACGTAGCGTTTTGTGGGAGAAACGTTTCGTTTCGTCACTCATCCAAGTGACTTCTTCAGTCTCAGCTGACTGCAGGTTTCAATCTTATAAACAGTACATTTGCATAATGACTGAAACCAGCCCAGTGAAGGAACAATGGGCTGGGAGGTCAGTTCCTTGATCATAATTATGCAAATTCTCATGACCACTGATCAATGGTCATGAGTACCATTCACAGAGAGTTGGGGAATGGCTGTAAGATGGTGACAGATGTACCCTTAGGCCCACTCCTCGATTCAGAGATGGTCTTTCCCTTTTCACGTAAATGGCCTCCTTGACGCTGTCTTATTATCATTTCAGAGCATGTAAAACTTTCCAGAAAAATTTGTTTCTAACTGACATAAATGTATCCAGACAGTTTAAACTCCTCAGTATGAAAACAGCTCTTAAATTGATCATTATAATTATGAGCACTGACTACACTGAGATTATACAGAAAATATTCTTCTTCAGACCTGCAGTTGGTCCTCGTGGTGTTTGAACTTGAATTCAGCCTGATTTGTTTTTCATGTCTTCTCCTCCATCATCAGTTATCAGGAGAGCAGACAGTCAAAGTACAAGAATTCAAACAAACACAGAGATTCTACTTACAGAGCAGACACAGCACAGATGTTTCCTTCATCGTCCTTCTCACTCATTTGAGCTTTTTTACATTTCTGTCACTGACACCAAGTAAAGCCCGCCCTCTTCCTCTGAGCACCAGCTTTCTATTGGTTCAAATACAGAGGTGGGGACCTAAAGTTTACTTGGTATAAAGAAAAAAAAACACTCTGTAATATCTTGTTTTTTCAGTTGTCAAGTATTCAGTCTGCTCTCAGTGATCTGTAGTTTGGTTGATGAACAAATCCATGTCCATGTAGTGGACGTCCCCTCAGTGAGAGAGGCAGATATGAGCTGAAACACAGGAATCAAACCAGGGACGCTGCTGTTATGGAGCTGAACTG